CAGGATGCTGTGCAGGGCCTGCTGCCCCAACAGGAGCACTCACGTCAGCCGCGTGAGCGACATCCAGCCAAGCGGTTCAACAGCCGTCACAGGCACCTGCCGTCAGGAGGCTCGGTCCTCTGCTCACCTGAGGCTCGCCTGGGGTGGCCGAGGCACATTGGGCCTGACTCTTTCAGAAAAGGCAGTTAACACCTTGCCCTTTGCAGAGGGAGGACCCTGGACTTCAGCGGAGGCTCCCACGTGCAGCCCGGATTTGTCTGTGCTTTGAGTAGCAATAGCAGGTCCTGGGTCCTCTCTGAAGCTGGCAGACACCTAATGGCACGTCCTCAGAGCTCAGTCAGTGACTACTGAATAACTGAGTTCAAGGGAAAGTGACTCTCAGGTGAAACTTGGGAAAGGGGGTCTCTGGTGCCAAATGGATGGCCTGGGTGGGATTTTATCAAGAAAGCAACANGGAAAGGGGGTCTCTGGTGCCAAATGGATGGCCTGGGTGGGATTTTATCAAGAAAGCAACAACCCCCGTCCCAGGATCCCCTACAGCCCCTGCCTGTGGAATCATGGGAAAGGGGGTCTCTGGTGCCAAATGGATGGCCTGGGTGGGATTTTATCAAGAAAGCAACACCCCCCGTCCCAGGATCCCCTACAGCCCCTGCCTGTGGAATCATCGAGGGCAGCTTCCCCTGGAGCCTGTGCCCAGCTTGGCCAGCTAGGACGGCCAGGATGGCCTGGACCTCAGCCTCACCAAGAGCATGGGGCTCTCATCAACAGTCGGTCCCAACAGGCGGCTGAGCCAGAAATGCTCATGCAGGCGCCATGGGCTTCGATGAGAGGGATGGAGGGCCCAGGAATATGTGTGTCAGGACACAACATCCGGGAAGCCGGGGAGCCAGGGAGCCAAGAGAACAGGAAACGATCCCGGGACTTCTTTGGGCAGCGTGACCTCGAGGAGGACATCCCTGTGGCTCAATCGCCTGGCCAGGTGGGCTCAAGGGTGAGAGGCAGGAGGGGCAGAGCACACAGGAGAGGGCCACACAGTGGGGACTGGGGACCCAGTGTTGCCAGAGGAGTCCAAGCCTCCAGTCACAGCTGCCCCAGAGCAGGCCCGGCAGTGACCACCCCGCTGGGGCTGGGGTACTGCAGGCGCGGCACCTGGCTGGGTCTGAGGAGCCTCAGGAGGAAGACGGGAGCTGCAACCTGGTTCCAAAGCCGACGTCCTCCCAGGCCGAGGGCGGGCCGTGGCAGGAGCAGGGGCCAGCCAGGTGGTGGCGGCCGGCGGCAACAGAGTCAGCGTGCTGCTGCCGGGCCTTCCCGGAACTTCTGGAACATTTGCCCCAGGCCCCGCTGGGCATGTTGAGTGCCTGCTTGTTTCTCTCCCTTCCTTCGATACAATTATAGATTAATTAATTCTCACCAAGCAATATCTGACCTACATCAGTGCCTCTGTAAGACGGCAGCGCCAGGAGAAAGAATCGCTCGGCTATATAAAGATGAGCGATCTATTTTAAAAGAAGGCCTGTGAGCGGGAGTCAGCTGTCGCCAGCATCCCTGTTACATAAGGCTCATTTGCAGGCAGCACACAGCCCTCGCCCGCGCCATTCACGGCTTGCTAGCTCTGAACGCGGGCTCGATCGTCCGGTGGAGTCTGGACTCACTGGAGGGGCCCTGACAGGTAGACGACCTCCCCGGGCCCCATCAAAGCATGTGCCACACCCCACCATAACTGAGGGGTCCCTCGACACCCAGAGAAAGGCTGGGATACCGGAGACAGCGCTGTTAAAGACGTAAGCTGGGATGCAGGCAGAGGCGTGGGCAGTAGGAGATGGCACCCTGGTACACACGCAGGTGCGTCATTTCTCTGGTTCTCAGGCTGCTCCGCGGCGGCGGTGCCATGCAGGGGTGGGCCCTCCAAGAAGGCCCCCCTGATCCTGGCACTCATGCCCCTGGGTGCCCCCCACCCTTGCTGTGGCCGGGTGTGACTCGTGGCTTCACTCTGAGGACAGGATGGGCAGAGGTGATACGATGTCATTTCCGAGACTGGCTTACGGAGACCTGTGGTTTCCTCGTGGGCGTGCTCTCTCGCTTGCTCCTGCATCCTGGGGAAGCCACTGCTGTGCTGGGTGGGAGGTGGCCCTGTGAAGAGACCCAGGTGAGGAGGACCGAGCCTGCCAGCCCCACCACAGTGAGCTCGGGAGCAGACCCTAC